CGTCAGTCGTCGCCAGTCGTCGTCCATCGTCGCCGCCAGTCGTCGCCAGTCGTCGTCCATCGTCGTCGTGACGTTGTCAGTCGTCGTCGTCGTCGTCGTCAGTCGTCAGTCGTCGTCGTCGTTGTCATCGTTGCCAGTCGTTGTCAGTCCTAGTAGGTCGTCGTCGTCGTCGTCAGTCGTCGTCAGTCCTCACCAGTCGCCATCCGTCCTCGTCGTCATCGTCGTCAGTCGTCGTCGTCGTCGCCAGTCGTCGTCGGGCCTCGTCGTCGCCGTCCTCGTCGTCCGTGTCGGCGGCGGCGGCGTCGGCGTCGGCGTTGGCGTCGGCGTCGGCGTCGGCGTCGGCGTCGTCGTCTGGCGTCGTCCGTCGTCGTCTGTCGTCGTCAGTCGTCGTCGTCCGTCGCCGTCATCGTCGTTGTCGTCGTCGTCGACGCCGTCCGTCGTCCGTCGTCGTCGTCGTCGTCGTCGTCGTCGTCAGTCGTCGTCGTCGACGTCGTCGTCCGTCGTCCGTCGCAGTCGTCGTCGTCATCATCCAGCGTCGTCGGCGCCGTCGTCGTCCATGGTCGTCGTCGTCGTCGTCCGTCGTCGTCGTCGTCGTCGTCCGTCGTCGTCGTCGCCGTCGTCAGTCATCGTCGTCGACGGTGTCGACGTTGTTGTCGTCGTCGTTGTCGTCGTCGGTCGTTGTCAGTCGTCGTCAGTCGTCGTCAATTGTCGTCGCCCGTGTCAGTTGTCGTCAATTGTCGTCGGTCGTCGTCAGTCGTCACCAGTCGTCGCCCGTCGTCGCAGTCATCGTCGTCAGTCGTCGTCGTCGTCGTCGCCGTCTCCGTCGTCGTCGTCGGTGGCGGCGGCGGCGTCGGCGTCGGCGTCACTGTCGGCGTCGGCGTCGGCGTCGTCGTCGTCGTCCGTCGTCGTAGTCGTCGTCGTCAGTCGTCGTCGTTGTCGTCGTTGTTGTCGTCGTCGTCAGTCGTCGTCAGTCGTTGCCAGTCGTCGTCAGTCGTCGTCGTCGTCGTCGTCGTCAGTCGTCATCTGTCGTCGCCAGTCGTCGTCCGTCGACGTCGCCAGTCGTCGCCAATCGTCGTCAGTCTTCGTCGTTGTCAGTCGTCGTCAGTCGTCATCAGTCGTCGTCGTTGCCCGCGGCGGCGTCGTCCGTCGTCGTCCGTCGTCGTCCGTTGTCGTCTTCGTCGTCGTCGTCCGTCGCCGTCGTCGTCGTCGTCGTCGTCGTCCCTCGTCGTCGTCGTCGTCGTCAGTCGTCCGTCGTCGTCGTCGTCGTCCGTCGTCGTCGTCCGTCGACGTCGTCGACGTCGTCGTCGTCCGTCGTCATTGTCGTCGTCGTCAGTCTTCGTCGTCGTCGTTGTCGTCGTTGATGTCGTCGTCGTCGTCGTCAGTCGTTGTCAGTCGTCGTCGTCGTCGTCAGTCGTTGTCCGTCGTCGCCAGTCGTCGTCGGGCCTCGTCGTCATCCTCGTCAGTCGTCGTCAGTCGTCGTCGTCGTCGTCTTCGTCGTCGTCGTCAACCGACCCGCCAACAGGGCAGACATGTCAGAACAGAACTGGGGCTTTAAAAACACCAGGATTGAAACATCGCCTGGCTTGCGCCCTCCGAAGAGCGGTCGGCCCGCGAATGGCGGGAGGGTGGGCAGCACGAGTTCCAAAGAGCGGCGGACTGGAAGACGCCAGGATGAAAATATCAGAAATATCGCCTGGCTGGCGCCCTCCGAAGAGCGGTCGGCCCCCGCACGGCGGGAGGGCGGGCGGGCAGCACGAGCACCAAAGAGCGGCGGCCGCACGCGCCTCGCTCGCCCGGCGGCCCCCTGCGCGCTAAGCGCCTCGCCGAGGCGGACGGCGCGGCACTGCCCGCGGGCACGGCAGGGGGCACCGCGGAGGAGAGAAGGCCAGCTTGAGAAGGGGTCGCTCCTCCTCCTCCTCCTCCACCTCCGCCTCCTCCTCCTCCTCCTCTTCATATTCATGCTCCTGGTCCTGGTCCTCATCCTGCTCCTGCTCCTGCTCCTGCTCCTGCTCCTGCTCCTGCTCCTGCTCCTGCTTCTGCTCCTCCTCCTCCTCCTCCTCCTCCTCCTCCTCCTCCTCCTCCTTCTCCTCCTCCTCCTCCTCCTCCCGCCAAGGCCTGCCGCGAGGCCTGCGGGAGGATACCGAAGCCGCTCCACACAGCGGAGGGCAGCGGGGCGGCGGCAAGCAAGCAAGGAGGGAAGTTCGGGAGGCGGGCGCGGGCGCGGGAGGAGAGGAGGAGGAGGAGGAGGAGGAGAAGGAGGAGGAGGAGGACGGGGAAGAGCAGCCTCAGATCGGGGCGTTGCCGGAAAATAATCGTGACCGCCGACTTGTCTTTGCTTTCGGCTTCAGGAGGCCGTCTTTCTGCCCCAGAACCGACCACGGGGAAAGAGTCGAGAAGCCCGAGGGCAGACGTCACGGGGAGAGGGTCGCAGGAGAGGGTAAGAGGATGCGAAGGGCGCGCGCCAATGCGAGGGCGGGCGGCCGAGCGGGCCGCCCAGGGT